TCAAATTCTGATCAGTACTTAAGATAAGATTAGTAATTATCATCTAATTGTCATGATTTATAATTTGAACACATCAGATTTTAGAAATGAAATTGATTTCCATACTAATCGGTCATGTAACTTATCTACCTGTTAATCGCAACAGATTGATTAATGAAATGTTTATATACTACTGAAATATTTGCAAGTATAAATGTACGAAAAAGTAAATAAAAATTTTATAGCTGAAATCATGAGTCAGTTGAATGATTGGCCATAATAAAAAACAGACCACGAACTACTTAAAAGTTTTCAGTTTTTGATTGAAATCATGAATTGATTGGTGTTAGACAACCATTGAACAACTGGAAGCACTGAATGAACATCTTGTCCTATTTTGGGACTACTCAACAATGCGTATCCACGACCCCGTTCGCGGGATTAAAATAAAACTTGCATTCTAGAATAACATTTGTATCTAGTTGATCATTAATTCTAATAAATATACCTTCTTGTTGAGAACATTAAGCGATTAGCTTCATGAGGGAATTCTCGGAGTTCTTATGAGAAGCCATGTTCAATGGAGCTAATCCGTGTTGGGTAGAGACAGGTATCTACCTCAGTACAATGGAAGATGGTCGCGTAATTTCGTGAATTAGGTGAGGTTAGACATTAACACCGTTGGATGATGGTCGAATCAGTGATCTAGTGGTTAGGCAGTCGCTCACGAGACTGAAGATCCTGTTTTCGAATCCCGAAGGCGGGATCGTGGATGCGCACTGCTGAAGAGTCCTACAACAGGATAAAACGGCTGTCCAGTGTTTCCAGCTTTTCATTGATGATCTATCAACAACCAATTCATAATCTCAATTGAAATTGTAGTCCAAACTAAAATTGTTTTGATTTTGTTTCATTTTGAATGTAATAAAAAAATAATAGTCAAACTTAAAACAATTAGTCCCTTTAATAACTTTCGATAATGTAATAAGAAGACGAAGATTATTGAAACTGTGTGATTGTTCGAAATGTATTATGCTAATATATCACATAGTTCTGATAATCTTCGTCTTCTTATTACATTATCGAAACAGTCAAACTGTTATTTACCGAAACTGAAGTTTCTACTAAAATTTCATGAAAAGATCCTGTGCTGATCAGACACATTATATTCTCTTTAAATGAATACAACTTATGGCATAAGATTAACAACTTATATTTAAGAGAAATGTCAATCTTTCAATCATTTGCTTTTTTTCTTTTTACTACCTATATAACTGACATTCATTTATTTCAATAAAGATCTAATTCATTACAATTGATTTGATACTTAGTTTTTCATACATAATTAAGTTTCATTGACTGACATTTATCATTTCAGTAGTTTAATAATAATAAAACACAAGTTCTCTTTTTGTGCCTCCACAGAGCCTAATGGTTTGTCCGTCGAAATGATTCTAAAAGACATTTTTGGTGGGAGAAGTGTGATCAAAATGGATAAGCTTCCGCATTCATCTATTGATTGATGTACGCTTTCCCTGTAAAACACAAATAAGGTAATATTCTCAAATGCATTTTCGAAAAATGTAACCCGTTCCAAAAGATCATGTAAACTTATAGATGCACGTTAATAAAATTCAAGACGGAATTTCATCTCTGTTCAATTCATTAATCAAATGTCATATGGAAGAGACAATACGAAGCTTAGAGTAAAAGAAATGTCATTTCCAGAGATTTGGAAAATCGGCTTTTCAAAATCCCAATGTTTACGAAGACAGTTTCCCTTTGATATGCATATTTTTAGATACATTGAAACTTGGGCTTGTTTATCTGGATTTTTTATCACTAGTTAAAAATATATTATCAGAAGGGGTTTGTGGAGATTTTAGAAATTTTCACAGATTTAAATCATGAGTCAGTTGAAGCTAGACCACCATTGAAAACCTGGGTTCGAGCCCCGCATGGTGCGGGATCGTGGATGCGCATTGCTGAGGAGCCCCATACTAGGACGAAACGGCCGTCCAGTGCTTCCAGGTTTTCAATGGTGGTCTAGCTTCAAATGACTCATGATTTAAATCTGTAAAAATATATTAGTTTGATAAACTAGGAAGATTTTTAATGATATACAATACAAATTTTTTTAGAACACTATATCCATATAGTATTTTTAATTGTCATAACAGTTAACACGGGTCACTTAACTTCTGAATACTATTTATAGATGACTGACTATGAATCTGTTGGAAAGGAAATGATTTTAATAGGTTCACCATAAGAAGGATGAATTGTTTTCGTATCAGTGAATACTACTTAAACTATTAAGCTAATAAAATAGAAATTTTTTTATAAAATGGGGTTAGATTTTCACATTATCGAATATCATTAATTTGAAAAGTTCTCACTGTTAACTAATCTCAGCAAGAAATATATTGAAAAGAAAAAAAAGGTTGGACTTTTTGCCTGTTTCGGATTTTAGAATTTCTTAACAGTGTACACGAACGATCTTAAATGAGGTCAAACTAATGAGCTGTAAAGTACTCAATCATCAAACGATTATTCCGTGGTTTACGTTTTCCAACACTATATTCACCACAAGACTTGACAGTCCTGTGCTCGCTGTCATATGATATCCCATTTCCTAACTGCTGAAAAATTTTAAAGTAGGATGAATAAGTTATACTGTGCTCTTCTGAATTTCATTGATGTTTCAGTCCATGGTGGTTTGTGATGGAAATTATCTTTAAACTAAAAGAAATATTAACAAATTACTCAACTATATAATCTTAGTTATATACACATAGTTTGCTTTATCATCTTAAAGAGAGAAAATGGAAAGATTTGTGTAGAATAGTATGAATTCGTTTTACACCATAAGCTCAATTAGTTATTTTTTATAGTGGCGTGCTGATCGAAAGTAAACGTAGATGCCCAAAGTGACATTAAGCGTTCGTTGCCTATTTCACTGATAACCATGTACCAAATATGCTAAAAATAAGCGTTCTGTTTTCTTAACTATGTGTAAGTTATTCATTGTTCCCTATAAAAGGATTAATTATTGTTTTCTATTTGTTATTAAACATTTAATCACAATTCAACATGACCTGAATAATTACCAAAAACTAGGAACTACTGAATAGTTATTTAATCAAACTAAACACTTTCGTAGAAGTAACTATTTGAAATAAAAGAGCCATAACTGGGTTACTTATTAAGTGTCAGGATGGTTGGATTAATCAACATTGATGCTTTTCGACAAGCATCTATTCTTATTATTAACTTTGTGAATATTTGTTTAGAGCATAATAAACTAAAACTTCGGTGAAATAATTCTTTGGGTGTTGGAAAATCCAATAGTGCTCAAAATTTCTATTCAAATCGATAAAGAGACTTTTTGAACAATCATTATTTTGGATCCTCAAACCTGGTACGTTCTGTTGAATCAAGCGGCATGAAGCAGGCACTGTGAATGGATACTTTCCATGGACATACTAAAAAATCCAATAAATACCCGCTCTTGTTTTGAACGAGAATAAGTATTTGGTTGCATTACGTTTTCTCAATAGTTGAGGTATGGACTAAGAGTTATTGGGGAAAAGTTGTATTGACTTAAGCGATCGTCCGAATCTGATACTGATATACACGCTTACGATATGCGAGCCCAATCTGCTGCCTAGGTAAAAAATTATCAAGGAGTAGCAAGATTATACATATATATATATATATATATATATATATATATATATATATATATATATATATATATATATATATATTTGTCCCTCAGAAAATTAAAGTAGATTTGCGACTAATAACGTACGTCAAATAACTAAGTCTAAACATAACCTGTAATGTGCCATCACCTGCATCTCTCCCTCATCATTTGACATTGAACCGACATACCTGATTGATCCAGCCTGTCGAGTTAGTATAAGTTGGATTGAGGAATATATTGTGTTCCATTAACTCATGCATAGCTAGAGATTGGTCAAAACATTGATCAGTTTTATCATTATTTGGTTAGATCAAAGGTAATTTTTAATAAAATCAATATTATTTTAAAAAAAAATGTTTCATCATAAATTGAGGCTAATTAATCATTTGGCTGACTAAAACTATGAATATCAATGAAGATAACATTTAACTTTTATAATATAATTCAATTTGTCTTCATGAAAACTGAATGTATCCATTCCTTATCATTTTTTGTATACAGAAAAAGCATCGGTTGAATAATGACCAAATATGATAGATCCTAATGCACAATTAATACATAACGCAGTATCATGTTCCTTTCAGAATAAAAATTCAGCTCATCAAATAATTTAAGAAAAACAGTTGTTATTATGATTGTTACTTCTATTATTTAACTGTAATCAAACAACAAGATTAAGAGAAAATTCCTAATTCCATTTTTTATGTTGTTTGAATATGAAAATATACAAACAAACAAACAAACAGACAAACAAAGACCCCCCAACAGTATCGAATAAAACAACAACGATTAAACAAAAAAAGAAGTTGTATAAAATAAGCGAAAAAATAAGCAAATAAATACAGCTGACAAATGTATATCTATACATGTATGTATTAGAAGCATACATGATTGTATAGAAAATTGAAATTTCCTGAGTTCTATATTAAACATTAAACGAAGTGTATAATGTTCGAAAAAAAACAACAATCAGTATACATCAAGCGAATATGTATTATGATTAAATGTAATAAAATTAATACTGTACTTTTTATTATTACAAACCAATACAATATGTTACTAATATGTATATAATAAGTAATATTGTTATAATTTCATTAAACCACATTTGGAAATCTTAAAGAAATGAAATAAAATAGAGTTGTTGTGTTTTTTTTGTTTTTTTTTAAAATTTTGATAAGACTCCCTGTATGTTATAGGTTTGTGCGATGATAATTTACTATATTTTCTTTAAAAAGAAAAGTAAATATGAAGAAACAATATGATTCTAGTATATTTGTTTCTTTAAAAAAGAAAAAGGGAATATTCATTTTCAAAAACCAAAATCATTAACTTCAACACGAATTTTAATTTTACTAAAATTAAATTTCATTGATAAATCTTCACAACGTACTAAATGTCCTAAACTACCACGTCTTATAGCCCAATATGGTCGATGAAAATGTTTACAACATAAACGTGCATAACGTTCAGTCCAATAATGTATATGTATAAAATCTGAAAATAAATGAATATTTTCATTACATAATAATGAAAGAAAATGAAAATCTGAATAATATAAATATGGTGAATAATTAACAGTTAATGTACGTATTTCACAATGTGTATCTTTAAATGCTGTATAAGCTAATAAACGTATTTAATTAGCAAAAAAACATCGTCGATTATCATTGACACCAGTTAAAAAAATATTTGGTTGTGTTGTTATACCCATATAAGATCCATTATTATTAAATAACCAAAATATATGTATAAAATTTTCATAGAAATAAATCATTTGTAATATTAAACTAGTTAAATTTAAAAAGCCTATACTTAATATAGACATATTTACAATAAAAGTTGTTTGTAACATACAAATAAATAATTTATTCGATAATTGATAATCATTAATTTGACATATATATAATGGTGCAAATGGTGTACCTTTATAAATACCAATAATAATAAAAGTGAATAAAATAGTACATCCATGAAATACTAATAAAACTATATGTTTAGTTATATATCTTGACCAATAGAAATCAGTATTTTGCCATGCAGCTAAATAAGTATTTAATGACCAATCTACATGACATGCATGAAAACATGGTAAATCTAATAAACCTGGAGCTGATAAATCAGCATCACCAAAACTTATTGATATAGCTGGTGAAAGTGTTGGACTATCAACAATACCACCACCAATACCACCACATCTAATTGTACCAATTGTTGTAGATTGTTGTTATGCATGAATCACTGTTGGTGCAGTTGTTTGTGATAGAGCTGATCCACCACCAAATGTTGTACGTTCACTAGTTCCATCATTTTGTACACCATATCCTATTCCAGTATGAGGATAATATAAACCATTTTGATGTATTATAGGACCTGTTGGAATAGTTGATGTAGGTGATAGAAAAGTTCCAGTTGGTGCACCAACATCAGTTGATGCAGTTGCAAGTGTTTGTAAATAAGCAAGTTCTTGTGTAACAGCTCTTCTGAAACTATGTAATTCAGCACGTACCAAGCATAAATCACGTCTAGCAGTTCGATCTATAGAGCGATGATATAAGTAATGAGGTATCCACATTGCTATTGCATATATAATTAAAACAAATGGATAACATTCATGCTGTAAACGAATAGTACTAATTTCTTTATTGGTTACTTCTGATTCAGAATGAATTTGACTTGAAGATTTAAAAGAATGTGGTAACCGCTTAACTGTTCCTTGCAGTACTTCCGTAGTCAGTTGTAGACCACATGCACGATCAATAAATGTATTTGTAATTGTGTAATAATCAAGTTTATTTTCTTTTGTATCTGGAAGACAACGAGTAACGCCCAGAAGAGCATGCAATAATAAGAGAACTAATGCTTGAATGGCAGGGATACATACAGTTAAAATGAGTAAAATCCTATCAATCCAAAAGCTTGTTTTAAATCGTGAATACGTGGTGGCAACAACTCCAGCACTAGTATAAACATCCGGATTAGCATATACATTACGATCTTTAGATCCATGAAGAAATGGTATATCGATTGAAGCCATCAATGTATCATCAGAATGTTTCACGATATTTGATTTTTGTCTGTGAACAATAAATGAATCTTTGAAATAGTCATTAGATTTGAAATATTCAGTAAATATACATTTATTAACCAAATGTCGAAGGCAATGTAGATAAGGCCCACGTTCAAATAACTGAATTTTTGTTACCGAGAAAGTTCATGGAATCAGTTATTCAGATAATATTAACAATGTTTCTCATGACAACTTTTAACCGTGTTCTTTCAAATTATATTTAAGGACTCCTAACATAATTGAGACAATACAACTGTCATATAAACAGAAAATGCTAAAATGAATTAAAAGCACGTTATTTGTATGTCGTGTGTATTTTCCCTATCTTCAGATTCATAAAATAACTGGATTGGTGGGATCTATTTCATTGACCTCTATTTTGATTCGCCTATTATATGAGTTTACTGAAATTAACCAATCATATTAAAGATTGAAAATTAGTCAGCAAAACAAGTAATGAGACCTGAGTTTAATCCTGCATTTAAGACAATGATGGTTTTGCGACGAAAATTTTGTTAAATATGTATTTCAATGGTTAAGATCACGAGTCAGTTGAAGCTAGACCTACATGGAAAACCTGGAAGCACTGGACGACCATTTCGTCCTATTGTGGGACACCTCAGCAGTGCGCATTCACGACCTCGTCGTTGGGTGCCGGCTCACTGGTCTAGTGGTTAAGTGCTCTCGCGCGAAACCAGTAGATCCTGGATTCGAATCTCGCAGGGGGCGAGTTCGTGGATACTGAAGAGTCCCACAATAGGACGAAACGGCCATCCAGTTTTTCCAGGTTTTCCATGGTGGTCTAGCTTCAATTGACTCATGATCTTAGCCATTGAAATTACTATAATATCCACAAAACCCATCTGATATTAAATATATATTTATCGTATTTTTAATATAATAAATAAATACAAATTATCATTATGGGGTTGTGGAGATTGTTAAGTTTCTGATTGACATCATGAATCGATGAATGGATACTCGGAGGCACTGAACGGCTGTTTCATTCCTGTCAGATGGAGACAAGTATCTAACATAGACAATGGAAGATGTCCAAGCAATTTCTATAATTCGTTGAAGTTAGATATTAACACCGTTGGATGCTGGTTCAGTGGTCTGGACCTGAAGCGTTCACGTGCAAGACCAAAGGTCTTGTGTCCGAATTCCACGTGCGTAATTTGGGATGCGCACTACTGAGGAGTCTAATACTAGAACGAAACAGCCGTCCAGCGCTTCTGGGTTTTCAATGGTAGTCTAACATCGGTTGACTCATGATCTCAATCAAAAATCCAAATTAACTCTTGTAAAAAACATTATAATTGATATGAAAAATTAAATTTTGAAATTAGACCCCATGAATTGATATAATTACTTGCATTCTTTATAGTGTCAATAATTTTATGTTATTAAACTGATGTGATCATATGACTGGGAGAAAAAAATGAAATGAGACAGAAACAAGTCACTATCATCTCATAAAAATTCTTAAGTAATAATTAAGTTTAGAACTGGAATTGAATTTACGAAGCAACTAAATGTTGCGTATGTGAACTGAGTTTAAGAGAAAAAAAATAATCAAATGAGCACTTGGATAATAATGAAATCTGTATAAAATTGATAGACTAAGAGTAACTGTCCAAGCAAACAATTTAGTAAAGTCAAATGTTAACGAAGTAGTGTAAAAATACTACGGTTATCATGAATCCTGAAAGTCATTTGATGAATTGTCGAGTGTGAAATTCTAAGGAATCTCAAATTGGAATGAAGCATTTTTTTAAAAAAGATGCTCAGTTAATTAAATTTATTAGCTCGCATATATTGTTGATTATTATGAGATAAAATAAAATGAATTAATTCTATTATTTTAAAACCTTATAATCCATTCTTATTTATTAGATTACACCTGTTATCCCTCGTGAAGGAGCATTGGCCACTCATCAGTATGCTCTTATTATACATTAATTGTTTATAAACTAATTTTTGTAGAAAATATCTTTTACTAACTTGTTCTTACTCACTTTACTTCTTTGTTTTAACATGAATAAGTCTAAGCATGAAATAAAGCACAACATAAACAATGTAAATAAATTCACTCATACATAGAAATAAACAATTAAAAGTTAAATAGTTGAAATGATAGGTCAATTGTAGGTAGACCACCATGGAAAATCTGGAAGCACTGGATGGCCGTTTTGTTCTAGTATGGTTAAGCGCTCGCACTTGAGACTGATAGGTCCTGGGTTCAAGTCTCGCGGGGGAGGGGCGAGATCGTGGATGTGCACTTCTGAGGATTCCTATACTAGAACAATAGGGTTGTCCAGTGCTTCCAGGTTTTCCATGGTGGTCTAGCTTCAATTGACTCATGATTTCAACTAATGAAATTACTAAAATCTCCAAAAAAACCCTTCTGATAATTAAAATTTAGTATTTGCATACAATGAATTTAATAGAAAATAAATTTATCTATTTATTTGTACATTGAAAATTTGTCCAAAATCACAGAATATTATTGTTGATGGGAAATTTTATCGGTTTATTCTATGTATTTGTTAGATGTGGGAATATAAGTAAACAATTAAACAGTCTGCCTATGTTGAATTATAAACAGAAACATTAACTTGTATAAGTTAAACTTAAAATGACAGATTTTATTATTATTATTATTATTATTATTATTATTATTATTAGTAGTAGTAGTAGTAGTAGTAGTAGTAGTAGTAGTAGTAGTAGTAGTAGTAGTATCAGTATTAGTAGTAGTATTAGTAGTATAAAGCAAATTTTACACAGGAAATATAAATTTTCTGAAAATCATTTATCAATGAAAAGTTACTTTAAACTTAATTATACTTTACTATCAACCCAATTAAACAATTAACTATATATTCAATAATGATTAACTTTAAGAGAATTATTAATATTGTAGTGAGAATCTGTAGTCGCTAGAGATTATTATTATTGGCTTTATTCAATATTATATTTTTGGTACAATATAGAATTCTCACACAAAGCATTTCAACAAGTTTCTTATTATTATTTCTTGATCAACCCTTGCGATAAATATTGAGTGGTAGCCAGTTAGATGTTAGCAATTCAGGAATCGTCATCTGATTAATGTATATTCTTTTCGATGCACATTGATAGCAACTACGATGTCTGTGACTAAACTCTTTTGTAACTTTGACAGTCGTAACCTTTTCACAAACGCAACTGACCAGGTTATGCGACTAATAGGCATAATGATGTGTTAAAACAAACAAAAAAACAGATGACTTGTAAAAATTTTCAGGAAACAGATAGCTCATACACTCAAGCAGATAATATCGATAGTACTAGTTGATGTTTATACTTTATAGCGAAGTCAGGAATAAAACAGGTGGAAACCTTCTTATAGATCTACAGATAATGCATTCGAACAAGGACTGTATTCTATGGAGTTGATCTCGTCTAGGTTTCGGAAGCAAATTACTAAGCTATTATAGAATACAGCCCAAACTTGACTATAAATTCTTAGTTTTTGATGATACGTTCATTGATTTCTTCACTCAGAAGTGAATTTCCTAATATAATATATTTATTTATTTGTGTTTTTATATTTGTATTCTATCTACATCGAAGGATAGGACAATCATTTTTTACATGAATGCCGATTAAAGTTTAATTATCTTAATGTGGAACCTAAAGGAACAGAACGGCATATAAATTACCCCTATTCCTATATCCACTGTGATTTAAACACGGCTTATAAGAATTCCATTCATCAGAAATATATATATATATATATAAAGCTGTGCAAATATCAGTTGACCTCCAAATCCATTCTTTGGTCTATTTTGGATAATAAAAATGACATCACTTTTCTATATAACCTGGAAGTTGAATCATAAAATTTCGTTGCGGGGGCGGAAACTAGTCAACAATAAAATGATTTGTATAGTCAGATTGATTTTTCACTAGGTAAAAAAAGTCTGTACTTCCACATAGATATCCGCATTCCACGATCTATTAAGTCATCTCACAATATGTTTACACTTTTGTATATGAATAAGAATGAATAACTGAGCTATACATTTGTGGGCGATTGAATTACCTTACTAAATAACTCCAAATCATTTGGAATCTGTCACATATAAATAGAGTTGACACTCAAATAACAACAATGAAAAGTGCTAACAATCCAATTTTCTTTCTGTATTTTCAAATAATTAGTTTTTACTTTGAATATACATCAGTAATCCTTGATTCATTTTGAGTAGTATAATTGCCATGAGATCATGTGAATTATTCCTCTAATAAACGGGGTGTTTTCTATTATCATGTTATGTTCAATTTCACTATTGCATAATAAAGATAATAATTACTATATCAAACTGCTTGAGTTCCGTATGGTTCATTCTTTTCAAATGAACTTAATTATCTTATTAATTTATCCAAGTCATTGATCTATTCAAATACTAACTTGGGTTAAATGAACTTATTTTCAAAATAATACAATCGGGATATACTAAGGATTTGATAGTTGAATTAATCAGTCAAATAAAGTAAACAACCATGGAAAACCTGAAAGCATCGGAGGGCTGTTTCGTCTTAGTATGGGGCTCCTCAGTGGTACTCATCCACTGCTGATGGACTTATCAGTCCATTTAAACACTAGACCACTGAACCGGCGTCCAACTGTGTCAATGTCTAACTTCAACTAATCCACGAGATTGAACGGCACATCCAACATTGTCTTTAGTGAGTTACTATCTTACAACAGACCTGGTTGAACTCCACTGGTCACTGATTCTCACTAGAACTCCAGGAAATACCTCTTAGAGACGGCCATTAGTGTGTATATGATGACTATTATCAGAGAGAGGTTTTGTGGATATTATGGTAGACGGTGGCGCTATTTCGTGGATTGGTTGAAGTTAGACATTAACACCGTTTGATGCCATCTCAGTAGTCTGGATGTTAGGCGTTCACGCGCGAGACCGATAGGTCCTGGGTTTGGATCTCGCGGGGCAGGATCATGGATGCGGACTTCTGAGGATTCCTATACCAGGACGAAACGTCTGTTCGGTGCTTCCAGGTTTTCAATGATGGTCTAGCTTCAACTAACCCGTAAAATTCAAGTGTTAGGTTACTGTAATATCCACAAAACTGCTCACTGAATACAAAGGATTATTTCTTCTGTCTATTTCCAAGTGATTAGCGTTTTACATAAAAAGCTTATTTAATAATCAAATTCGTCAGAGAAAAATTTAGAATGTTATTAGAATTACGATTTGCGAATATTGTTAAGTGGTATATTTTATATCATAAATTAGCTTTAGTTAGATAACCAGTGAAAATTAGGATTTATTGGACTAATATTTTGTCCTAACACTGGACTCTTTGACAGTATACACCCAGGACCTTCAGGTGTAGTTCTGACACGTCAAGTGTGGGGGAAGTTATTCATCAGTGACATATGAACTGCCGAATATCATGAATTCATTAGAGTTATAATTATACATTATTAGAGGCTGTGTGAACAGACTAGAAGTTATAAGGCCTCAAGATTTTAGGTTCGGTTTTCAGCTTGATCGTAGGTGCGGAAGACAGTGTTTCACACTGACCTCAATAACTTTCTGTATTCCTTCATCAAGATGAATGTAGATCAAACTGAAGTTTATAGTAATGCTATAATTTCAGGAAATATTAACGTATTCTACAAAACAGATCTCCATCGTGTTCTTTTGTAAAGGTAATTTTTTACAAATCATGTGTATATTTTTGTACAATATGATGGTAATTGTCAATATGACATAACGTCAGTTGGAAAAAAATATTAGGAACCAGAGGACACTGGGAAATTGTTCTATCTCCTCTGTACTTAACTTAGTTCATAACTGAATACACAATAATGAGATTTTAAACTAATCAGCTTCATCCATATACTTTGTTTAATTGAGAATTGTATACTATGTGTTGTTTATATGTTAAACTGATTTGCATGAGGGAGTATTTTGGTACTCATTAAGGTCATCCTCAATATTTCTAATTATCATATTATTTAAATATGAATTTTCCAACATATTGTCAGGGTATGTTACGTATAAATGTGAGGCTACAATTAAAAAAAGACGGTCATGACTACTTTAGTCGACGACCTCTTATTATCATTTAAAATTATATATTGTCTAATAGAATAACCATTTTTAAGATTACCTGTATACTTATAAACAGTTTTATATCTTCAAGGAATAAATGAAGTGGTATCCTGTAGAAGACATCATTATTCGTTAATATTTAAATTAAATCTTCAATCCAAAAACAATTTTCTATTCTACATCGTTAACCACTTGAAATAATTCCAATTATTTTAAGTAATATAATTTTGAAATATTTCAATAAAAAGATGAGTTCAATTTCATTACTTAAACCCTCTGCTGAGTCATGTATATATATTGAGAGAGATACAATTTAAGAACAAAGAATATCGGAACAAACAATCATTTTCGATAGCTTCTTCATCATGCTCTACAATTATAAATCCGTAATAATTGTATTATATCAACCAAAATAAAGTATAGATATATGTATAAGTTATGTTCACACTAAACATTTGATAATAATGAACTTTTGCATCAATTACAGTTTAAGTACATCTGAAATAGGTCATTTGAAAAGGTCATTTAAGAAAGGGGAACTAAACGTTTTTTGTAAAGGGTTTAGATACAATCAACATTATAGAAGTTATGTGAATATAATACATAGCAGGATAAATGTTATGGAGCGGGGACAAGTGACATAATAATAACGATAACAATAATTACGTAAATACAGTAGATAAAGAAAGGAATACTGTTAAGGCAATTATGATAAGAAATTCATATGAATTATAAAGGATAAATATACATATGAAAAATGGAGCAGAACAGCAATAAACACAAAAAAATAAGTGAGTGTTCATTATATATGACTTAAGTATAATATGACCTAGTGGTAGGCCAAGGTAAATATGGAAGAGGCTGAACATATCTTTTTTTGCAAACGTAGATCTGGTTTTCGGGACTTGGTCCCGATGGTTTCTATCATGTAGTGAAAC